GTGACGACGTTGCCGGCGATGACCTGGACATCGGGGAAGGTCGATTTGATGAACTTGATCATGTCAATCTGGAACACGCTGTTGCCCTGCGACGAGTCAATCACAATCACGTCCACACCGGCCTCCGCCAGCGTGCGCACACGATCGCGGTCGTCGGGACGCGTGCCAATGGCAGCACCGACTGGTGATGGTGATGGTGATGGTGGTGGTCGTGGTGATGGTGGGGGAATGAGATGAGCGTGTGATGATGTTGAGGCAGAAGAGGATGCTGAGCAGGAAACTAAGGGCAGAGCAACAGCTACAACGACGGGACCAAGTGCAACAGCAACAACACGAGCGACTCAACCCGCCCCGCCCCCACCATCACCAACACCACCATCACCATCGCCCTCATTAGGCGGACGCACCGAGGAGCTGGCCGAGGGCGTCCTTGGATGCGAGCGGAAAGTCGCGGCTCTTCTTCACGTCCGAGCGGGAAATGAGCGCAACAAGCTCAAACGCGTCGTTCACAATCGGCAGCTTCCCCTTGCGCTCGTCCTGCATCAGCTGATTGCAGTCGTCCAGCGACATGTCCTGCGTGCCCGTGATCAGCTTGTCCGCTGGCGTCATCACCTGATTGGCGCACAGAGACGCGCGCGCATGCATGCACATTGTGTGGCTTGCGTGAGCAACCTAGCAAGGCAAAAGGCAAAGATCACGGGCTTCAAATACAAACGCAAACACACCCAAGCACAATCACAAGTTGCACGCACAAACGCTTAAACACAGATACACACAGACACAGACACACACACGAAACACACAGACAGACAGACAGACACAAACACACACACACACACACACCTCTGTGACGGGGTTGGCTGCGCCCTCGTCGAGGTAGTCGATATCGCGGGAGGTGACAATGCCGAGCAGCTTCCCGCCAATCCGGCCCGTGTCTGATCACGTCCACCAACGCACAGCACAGCACGGGTATGAATGAGCACACGTTGTCCAAACATGCAGCAGCGAACCGGACAAATTTCGGCGCACGTGGGCAAGTGTGTGCGTGTGGACAATAAATGTGCGAAAATATGCGTTGTGTGCACAGCAAACGCGCGTGGTGTCATCTCGATCGTCACCTGTGACGGGGACGCCACCAAAGCCGCGCTCCTCCTTGATGGCGCGAAGATCCTGCACGGTGGCCTTTGGGGTGCACACAACAGGGTCCATGATGAACCCCTGCTTGTACTTCTTCACCGTGCGCACCTCGTTAGCCTGGTACTCTGGCGTGCAGTTGTGGTGCACAATGCCAATGCCGCCCATCAGCTGCCGGGCCACAGAAACAAACACAACAGCACGGCGCGAGAAGAACAAAACGGCGTGAGCGTACACGTGTACATGAGGGCTTGTGTGCATTTGCAAGTGCGTGAGTGCTTGTGTGCAAGAGCACGAGGAATGTGCAGGCGAGAGCACCAGCGCCAGACACACGCGACCAACCAACCGCCATGGTGATGGCCATGCGGGCCTCTGTGACGGTGTCCATCGGGGAAGACACAAGAGGCGCGTTGAGGGAGATCTTCTTGGTGAGGGGCGACTTGCACTCCACCTCCTCGGGCACAAAGTCAATGAAGCCAGGCAGGATAAGGAAGTCACTGCCATGCAAGAGCAGAACACAAAGAGGTGAGTCAACAAGGTTCAGTCACAGCAACAAGAAGAAGAAGACAAGGGCGAGGAAAGCCAGGTGAGGAATGCAGAGGTGAGGAATGCCAGGAGGAGGAGGAGGAGGAGGAAGGGGGAACACTTACTTGTAGGTGAGACCACCGAGGGTGTAGGGGTTGTTGATCAGCTGCTGGGCGGTCAGGCCGTCCTCAGGCACGTAGCCATGGGCGCCCGTGATGAGCTCACTGCCAGCGTTGCGGCTGCTCAGGCCTGGTGTGGACACAAATGCAGTCAGATGAGGTGATGAGAGCAGAAGAGGTGGGCGGGAATGTGTCGGGGCACGGCACGCACAACGTGAGATCCACGAATGGAATTGACGAACGAAACCTGGTGGCAGTGGTGTAATGATGCGTATCAGTGCTTCCACTCACGTTCGCGGTTGCCGTTCTTTGCGTCAGACATGATGAACTCAGAGGAGGGAGAGAGAGAGAGAGAGATGAATGCGAGGGTTGATCGATGCGTGGACAACACAGAGGGAGGTGAAGAGAATGAGACAAACAGCAAGCATGTGTTGGGAGCACGGAAATGACGCTTGCTTGCTTGCGACAAACGCGCACACGCCGATTGCAACAGAGCAGAAAAATATGACAAGATATAGTCAAATTGTCTACAATGGTGGTGATTCATTTTGTGGTGTTGCAGAATGTTGTCTGACTTGGTTCGCGAGCACAGCGAGGCAAAGGCCAGAGCCAAGGCCGAAGCTGGTGCGTAGCTCGGTTTGAGTTGCTGTTGTTGTTGCCGTTGGGCGGTGCTCTGTGTGTGTGTGTGTCGTGTGTGTGTGTGTGTGTGTGTGTCGTGTGTG